GAACACATTTACGAGTCCAACTACCTTACAAGGTAAGTCTATATAAGCCTTCGACGACCATAATGACAATTAAAAGCAAATTTTACAGCGGTTTTTATCGCTATTGAACTAAAAATTACATTAAATGCATCAATCATGTTAATTCACAAAATTTTGTTATTTTTATAGTACTGTTAAGTGTCATACTCTCTAAAATTCCTTAAACGGCACTGTGACAGTTAAGCCAGTTCGCATCGAAATCGGCCGAAACTAACGACAGCTTTAGGGCATTATATTTAAGTTAACATCATTTTTTAAAACTTTTCTTTGTATTATTTCACATTCTTTTAAGTGCTGGTGTTTGACATAGTATTTTCGTTAGTTATTGTTTGTACATTTAAATAATTGATCACTATATTGTGATTTAAACTATAGTTTAATATAATATATACCTAAAAAGATGTTATCCGTATTTTACCCCCAGCCAGCCTACTTTCAATCCACTAAAAGCACTCTCTTCAACTCATTTGGCTAAACGGCTTATGAATTCGTGTTTTTGCCACAGCGACCTACAGTAACCTGTCGTGACGCTACCGTACCTGCCATTTTCGAAATAATGTAAAGACGAATGTAATACGCTTTATGCTGTAAAGATCTTCCGCATTCGAAGAAGCCATGTGTTAATTTACATATTAATACTATTTATAATGCATTACATTACAATAATCGAATAAGTGTTGTTGTTGGATCATAATCCCAGAAAAAACGCAAGAATTTTGTTTACAAGGCTTTCAGGGCACAAAAGGTGCAAGAAAAACGCAATAACTTTCTTTACACTAATAATGAAAAAGAATATACATGTAGAAGGAACCCCATTGTAGTCGGCAAAAACTTTCTTTACGCTTAAAGATCACATTTTTACAAACCGCAAGAACTTTCTTTCCACTAAAATATTCAAAAGTTCAACTTTTATTTCGAAACAAGAAAGAAAAACGGCAATAACTTTCCCTCCAAGACCTCAAGAACCAAAAAAATCGCCAATAAACCATAAAAAAGCTTACTAATCAAAAAGTAATGTCAGTCAATAAGATTGTATATATGTCCGTTATGCAAAAAGGCCATATACAGCAAGGTGTTGAATTGACTCATAAAACAAGTTTTTCGCCCCGAAAATGAATAAGTCGTTATAGTCGTTAATAAACATCGTAAAAAATTATGTTTCAAGACCGATTTCAGTAGCCTTATGATTTTTTACAAAAAAAAGTTTGAAATTAAATTTTTTTTTAAATTCAAATCCCAAAATTAAAAAAAAATAAAACAATTTTCAAAATTAACAGCAATTTAAAGCCATATTTTTATCAACAACACCATTCCTAATATCGCCTAACATCAATCGAGCTTTAGATCCAACAAAACCCAAGAAAAAACGATTCGGCAAACCGCGGGTGACAAGTTATACGACAAACGAAAACCTAATAAGACAACTTCGGAATTTAATGAAATGTTATATGAATATAACACAAGATATATCTTATAACCATTTAGAAGCACCAAAAAGCCTTGGTACTATACCTACGCAGATTTTAAAAAATTTCGGAAAAGCTACTTCAGATGTATCCCTTATCACAAGTTTTTCCCCAAAAGAAACATCATATACTATATCAAAACTAACTAAACAATATAATACCAATTGAATAACGTAAATCAATAAGTCCAAAAGCAAATTACTAGAATCACCTCACTTAAAGAGCAAAAAACATCAAAAACAGAACAAAACCAAAGATAACATAAGCAAAACAAGTCCATTAGCACCTGAATCAAAAGAAGAAATACCTCAAACTATCTTAAATCAATTGTTCAATAACCAGACACTCTTTCTACAACTTATTTCAGCAACAAAACTCCAAAGATTCACACAAAGACATCTAAAATATCCAAAGAACCAATAGATCTACTACAATATAAGACAGTTGAAAAAAAAGAAAACCGTCAAAATAGATAAACAAAAACATAATCAACATAAAAACAACAAAATAAAGCAATTATTCTTATGTCAAAACCACAAAAAATTAATAAATTAGCTATTAAAATTGATAAAGTTACCAGCAATACCTAAAATAGCCAAAATATTCCTAAAACATCAACAAAACATATATAAGACAAAATCAGATTTACAAGAAAGAATGAGGTAATATCCACCATCGTCTTTCACAACACCCTATGAAGCAATCAAATTCCATAATCAACCCAAAAACAAAAAACCTTATATTACCCATGTTATCTTTGCCCAAAAATCCCTCAAAATAGTTTAAAAACCTGTTAAAACCCCAAAACAAAGCAAGAATCGAATAAAGTAATATAAAGCCATTAAAAATAAATAAAACAACAAAAATAACAGCTCAACTACTATCAAACATTCACAAAACATCTTCTTCAACTTCGACTTCAAAGAAAAACATCCTCTGACTTTCGGATCAAAATCCTTCGGGATAAAAATGGGCGCGAGTTGGAGAGCGAGAAGCGCAGCCTGCAAGCGCCTGAACTTCGAGCTTGCTTCTGGTTAGAAAAATGAAGGAATTTACTTTACAATACGGTATATTATGGTTGAAAAATAAAGGAAAAATTAATTTTTATTTTTTGAAATTTCTGTAAAGAAAGTTTTTGCTAAATATAAATTTTTAGCTTTTTTTCTAAAAAACACTGAATTCTGAATGGAAACAAAGTTTTCGCCTAAATTTTGAAGGATTTTGATATTTTTTTACGTTGAAAAGTTTACTCTGAGTACGAACTACATTTTTACACAAATTTACACGTATATATTACCCATGTGTACTTTTTGCAACAGCAAAAGGTAAAGTAATATATATGTGTTAGACATCTATGTGCACATAGTAAAACATATTTTATAGTCTAGATTTCTCACGTATTATGCTATCTTGTAAAATACAAGCCCACCCCTATTCACGAACCTAATTTTGCCGAAAATTCACAAAACCGCAATAACTTTCTTTCCACAACAAAAATCATATTTCGAAACCCGCAATAACTTTCTTTACAGTAATAAACATAAAGTAATTTCAAAAAATTCACTTTTATACTATGGGATGTCATAATGATACGATACCATGTTGATTCCATGTTTTTGTATATTTTTGTTTACCGTAACAACAATAATACTATAACAATGCCATTCTTAACAGGTTTCCGAATGTGAATTTTAGTTTTCCCGGTCATAAATACTAACATGGATTTGATATAGGTACGAACATGCAATAATATTAGTAGTTTTACTATCGTATTACAGTTTTTTGGGGCTTATACCAACATACAGTATACCATCTACATCTAATAGGTCGTTCAAATAATTCTGCGCCCTTAAACCCGAAAGTTTGCTATATAAGAGAGTGGGGCACAAAATTATTTGAACAACCTAATATATGACAATTATGACTTAAAGACGTACCAATACGACCATTATGGCCTAAGGTCCTACTATTAGGTTAATATTAAATTGTTCAAAAAATTCTGAGCCACCAGCAAATTTTTGGGTTGAAAAAGCCCAGAATTATTCGAACAACCTAATATGATGACATTTTTAAGACATGTTAACAAAAGATATGAGAATGATAACAAAAATACGAAAATATATATGTTTTTGAGCAACATACGAATACGACCACCTTGGTACAACAAATATTTACCATGGTATTGGTTTTAAGCCGGAAATGCGTTATAAAGTTATATAATGTTTTAAGTTTAAGCATTAATCCTGTATCTAATGGTAATCTCGTGCTAATCGTTGTTTTAAATGATAGTGCACTATAACTAATTTCTTTTCAAAAATTTGTAAAAGTTTTGAAATTTAGTTTTTTTTTATTTTGTAAAGAATATTATTGCAACTTTATGTTTTTTAAAAAAAGTTGTTGCCATTTGTAAAGAAAGTTATTGCAATTTTAAAAATTGTAAAGTAAGTTCTTGCCATTTTTGGTTTTGTAAAGAAAGTTCTTGCCATTTTTCTTTTTGTAAAAAAAGTTCTTGCCATTTTTTTTTGTTTCATAAAGAGTTTTTGCCTTTTAAAGTCCTTTAAAGAAAGTTATTGCGATTTTAACGATTGTAAAGGAAGTTCTTGCCAGTTTATGCCTGTAAAGAAAGTTCTCGCCAGTTTTAAAAACCAAAACATAAAAATTTCTTTAAAAGCCAAAAAAAAATAAATTGCACCGTGCAGTTAATCCAAAACAAGAAAAACAAAAAAGCCAATATAGAATTATATTTTTAAATCAGTAAAAAGGTAATAGAAATACAGTAACCTACAACTTTAAAAACTAAAAAAATTACAATTTTTCCAAAAAAATCTCCAAAAGTACAAAACAAAAGTAAAAGATATACAGTAATTCTGATTTACTTCCTTTTTCGTGTTACAAGAAATCATTTCGATCAACTTTTTCGCTTCGAATTAACGCCTGAGGGCGTGAACGCGGCGGATTACCACGACTAATTTGATCCGAAAGTACATAAAGCAATCAAGTAATTACAATTTAGTCGAGGGATAAACAAATTTATGCGTTTTTAGGTAACAAATCATGTTTTGACCTACTTAAATCGCGCAAATTTTCTTTACAGGACATAATGGCAAAAACTTTTTTTTTACAAAGCATAAATTTGCAATAACTTTCTTTACAGAACGACAAATGGCATGAACTTTCTTTACAGAACAATAAATGGCAAGAACTTTCTTTGCAATACAAAAAATGACAAGGACCTTCTCTTTAAACTATAAATTGCAAAAACTTTCTTTACAATGCATTTTCCATCTTTTTATACAAAAATCATACAACTTTTTGCCATTTTATACACCGTAAAGAAATTTTTTGCAAAATCAAATAAATAACCTTTAAAAAATGAACAGGTAATTAAAAAACCATGATAACCTCAAAGAAACTAAAATATCGACCGGTAGGCAACGCTTTATTCCATTTTTAATATGCACTGACTAAAATAGTGCATCTTCAGCTTGAATAATATTAGGCGCTGCACGCTTCCGCTTCTTCCTCTCCTGAATTCTCACTTTCTTGTGCTTGTTCTTCTGATTCCGTTTCATTCTTCGTCAATGACCAAGCCGACGCGCCGTTTGCCATTAGACGTAGGGTCGGGACGATTGAGGGCATGGTGAAATGGTAAAAGCCTGCTCCGCGGTCGGTGAATTGAAGCTGAAAGTGGAAGTTTTGAGCTTGGGTAACATTAAAGTAGGTTAACTTTAAAATCGAAAAAAGTTATATTATAGTAGTCAAAGAAAAAAAATTAAAAAATATGTATTAAGACAGCCCCTGCCTATACTGCTTCCCAGAAGGATCACCAGCTTGTGTTCCAACGATTAAATGTCATTTTACCCATTTCAATATCCAAGCTCCAACTTACCGCATGATTTTTCAACTTGACTGAGCCGAATCGAGTTCCGGAAAAGGTTTGAGCCGTGAATTTCGGGTCCTTGTGATCGATAAAGAACTCATCCACCCACAGAGTCTTTTTCTTAATCTTGTCGTATCGTGGAACCTTGTGTATTTGGAGATCTATGTAATAAACATCAGCTTTCTCCACGTCTTTGACTTAAAATATTTTTTATGTTAAACCTCACAATTTTTAAAAGAACGGCAAAGACAAACTGGTAAAACCGTATTTAACACAAAAAGCTAAATTTATGAGTGGTTTTAAAGATTTTGAAATATAATCAGATTTTTTGATTATATTGAGGATGACACGTTCGTACCTACTATAACATCAAAAGTCCGCAGTAGTTAAAAACTTTTGTTTGCAAAATAGTTGCTCACAAAACAATCTACAGATTCTCTAATTTTCAAGTTTCTAACCATCTTTTCCAAAAAGTTACGACAAAATCAAGTAATTCCGTGTGATTATAGCGTCTTCCTCAATATAATTGCCATAATCTTTGCAAATTCATACAGTAACTACACTATTTTCCATCCAAAACCTCAAACAAACCTAAAAGCCCAACAAAAATATCAAAAAACTCACTTTTCTTTGGATGCAGACGATAAGGGACAAAATTAGACATTCTCGAGCAGTAATCGTCGTCCTCAATGTCGGTCGGATAGGGATAGTAATCGAATAGCTCCAATTCATGTTGCTCATGCTTATTCAACTCTTCAAATACCGATCCTTCATCCGATTCGGTGTTCAGTGAGGTTTCCTCGTCTTCTTCACCTTCTCCTTCACATTCATTTCCATCGGCCAGCGATTCGAGATCAGAAATGGCTGAAACAAGATGAAATTGGTAAAAAACGTATGATAAAAGCACAAGATCCCAGGATTTTTGTATGAAAAATTAAAAGTGAGTAAGACAAGTTGTTTTTTACCAAAATCTTGAAGAAGTCCTTTTGAGACAGTCAAAAAAAAGCAGGAAAAATGAAAGTGCGCGCCCTAGCTTCATCGCTTGACCCGCGCAGGCTGCGGTTAGATTTTATACTCTGCATGCAAAAAATACGAAATTTTTTAAAATTTTTACCGTTTACATCCCTTTCTGCTTTTAACCTTACCAGTAAAACAGGATTCATCCTCATCAGTCTCTTCAAACGTGCTCTCTTCCGCTTCGTCTTCACTTTCTTCCGATTTTTTCGGATAAATTTGAATTTCGGTCGTTTCTTGTTCCGAATTCTCAAAGATCGCAATCACTACACCATCATCGTAACGTAGAATCATGTTGCGAGGAAACTTGTGGAGAATGTCCGATGGGGTCAGGCAGCAATCGCTACATGCCTAAAGTGACCTTTTTTTTGGTTTGCTTGATGTTTTTAATCAAAAAAGTGGAATTAAAGGACATAAGGCGTTTTAGGCCTATCATACTAAGCCTTAAAATTTTTATCTTTTTGATGAAAAGAACTAAAGTTAAGCTTAAAATCCCGCCCAAAACCACCTCCAAAGCTATATTACTCATACCTGAAGGATGATTTTGTCAGTGAACAACTGATCGGTGCTGTCATCACCTTCCAAATGCTCAACACTTTCCACGCTCTCAACCTCGGTTTCGGCTTCATTCCACTCTTCTTCTTCAGAATCCTCGTCCTCGGTCGTAACCGACTGATCTTCGGCCGAAATCGACTGGTCGCTCTTGGTTTTCGGGTCTCCGCTTTCCGAAATCAACGAAACTTTGTCGTCATCATCAATTCGACGCAAATAGTCCAATAAACGGTTGGCAAACCGTTGCGCAAACATTTCTACTCGGCTGTAAAAAAATTTTTAAAATTTAAAAATTTTAAAAATTTCAAAATTTCAAAAAATTTTAAAATTACAAAAAAATTTTTTTTAAATCGAAAAATGACAATCCCAACCAAAACTTACTATCTTGGAATTTTCCTGCACAAAAAGCGCGTCAAGAAGTTTGTTGTCTCCAAAACGCAGATTTGCAGCTCGGACAGGTCGTACCGGCTTCCTGATTGTCTCACATTATTCGCGTTCATTCCTAAAATACGAAAAATTTTGAAATCTTAAATAAAAACCTCAAAATCATACCCAAATCAACGTAAAAATTAGTCAAAAGATACCATGATATCAAAAGAAATATAAAAAGATACCACAACACAGTAAAACAACTTACTTTTAAAAACACAACCGCTCCCGACTTTGATAAACAGTTCAACTGACCAGTCTCCATTCCAGAAGGTTCATTTCAATTTTCATTTCAAAATCACTTTTTCATAAACAATTGGTGTAAATCATCATGGATTTACAGGACAGTAATGAAAAAACGCCAAAAGTTTGCGGAAAATCGAAAACCAAAACTAAAATGTGATACACAGTAGAACTCCTGTATAATCGCCCGGAGATTTTAATTTTGTTCGTATAAAGGAGTTTTGCTATATAGGAACGTTAAATACACTGTGTAGTGTAGGCCGAAGACTTAAAAGCTGGTCGTTGGGTTTTCCTTACAGAGGAGTTCGTTATACAGAGGCTCCACTGTATATACACATCTATATATGTACCTTTACCCCAAAATGAATTTTTGCGTAATATTCTGTCGTTTTTAATCACATTTTCTTCGTCGATCGAAAAGTACAGTAAAACTTCTGTATAATGGGCAAATTTAAATCTCATAGCAATAAATAGTGCATTGAAAACTCCTGTTTAACAAAACTCGTTTATAACGAACAAAATTAAAATCTCCGAGAGATTCGTTATACGGAATTTTTATTGAAAAAATTTTGCACGGTGCAAGCTTTTTTTTGCACAGTGCAAAATCTTAACTGCTTTGCACCGTGCGCCGTCCCGATGTAATTTTGACGCTCTTTTCATCCGAACCTGTATATATAAACACATTCTGGCCATAAAAAGATTTCTTTCCTCATTTTTCAATAATTCATAAAAATATTATTACGTTTTGTGCCATGTTATCGTAAAAATGAAAGATAATCTTTATTCCAATCAATTATACACATAACTTTGTAGACTTTACAATATGTACTTCGTATACTTTAAAACAGAAGTTTTATAGATAAAACTAAAATTTTGATAAAAAATTATAAAAATTCTTTTAAAAATTTTTAGAAAATGATAAAAACTCGTTTGGAAATCAAGAAAATGAAAGAATTTCGAATGTAAATGTAGTCGCTACCCAAATAAAAAATTTTAAAAGATATTTTAAAATCATAGTCAAGAATCTCAGAAGTTATTGGCCAGATTGCACAGTGAATCTTTTAATTTAGTTCTTTGCACCGTGCAAAAAAAATTTTGCACCGTGCAAATCAGTTAATTTTATTGACTGCACCGTGCAGAGCTTTTAAATTATTTCTTTGCACCGTGCAGATCACTTAACTTTATAAACTGCACCGTGCAAAGCAAATAAAAACTTTTGCACCGTGCAAAGAAATTAATCTTTCTCACTGCACCGTGCAGACCAATGTGTTTTATTGACTGCACCGTGCAGATCTTTTCATTTATTTCTTTGCACCGTGCAATCAATTAGTCTCTCTCACTGCACAGTGCAAAACTTCCAAAAAAGACCTCAATCTTTTGAAATAATAGGCAATTCTATATACTTTTTTACCAAGTACATACCAATACTGTTTACAATACTAAAAAATGATCAAACCATTAAAGTCCATAAAAGACATTTCAAAAAGTGTTTAAAAGAACCCGCGGTAGTTTCCAAACCGTTGTGAGAAGCGTGGTATCACGTCGTCAAAGATACGACTCAAGTTCACGTCGTAGTATTGGGAGGAAAAGAGGTTGTCGTTCATTCTGGACAGTAAATTTGTATATCAAACAAGTTCAAAGCCGAAATTTTTAATAATTACCATCTATGGTACTTATTACAAACTTAAGCCAAGTTTCAGTCAAATAGTAACCGTTTGAACACAATGCCAAAAACGGCGGGAAATTTGAAAAATTTGTGTTTTAAAAATCATAACTGTGACTTCAAATTTGACATGCTCACTAATGCTAAAATTATAATAGTAGGTTGTATTAAAAAATCCCTTAAAACACTATGCCAAAATGGCGGAAAATTCAAAAATAATCATTTTTTGCTTTTTGCCACAAAAAATTTTTTTTTAAAATCTCCATCTACTTTTTGACCAATTAAAACCCCAAAAAACCTACTCATCCATGAAAAAGTTGAAGCTGTTACTCATGTGATCCTCGAAAGCATAGAATGGATATGCTCGTCGTCGTCGTTGAGCCGGCTGTGTCTTTGATGGATCGGTAGTAGCCGTATTTGTCGTCGTCGTCTTCGCGCTTTGATTATTGTTCATTTCAGGCCTCAAATCGGCCGAGGTATGGCGTCGTGGCAGTCTACGGCCGGTCTCCAACGCTGCGCAGAGAAGTCGATAGGCTAGCGTGACAGACTTGGCCACATCCGCATCACCACCCTTGTCCGTGTGATGTAGGCGGATCTTTTGTTGGAAGGCTTTTCGTAACGTGTCCTTGTTGATCTTGTGGTCTACATCGAGTAGTTTCATCTGTTGACAGAGTTCTATCTCCGAAATGTTTTTTAGCTCCTAAAATGAGTTAGTTTTGATTCAAAATTGAAAAAATACCTATAATAACATAAGCCCCAACATAAACCTAACTTTAAAAATGTATATTATAGTAGTATAGTTAGCTCCCAAACCCCTCAAAAGTTCACCCCCAAAAACTACAATAATATCAACATTTTTAAAACTTGGCTCCCCGATCTATAGTAATATACAATTAACCCCCAAAGGCTACAACAATATTTAAATTTCTAAAACTTGGCTCCCCAATCTATAGTAATATTGTTATTTTGTTGGACGAAACCACTCACCTTGGCCATTTTTTTAGTTCGCTTTCGGCTCGAAATGACCAACGGTTCGTGTTATGTGTTGTTTGTTATGGCTCTGACGTTATGACCAGAAAAACAATATAAACCGGCTGGTCACTTGTCAACGGACAAAACGTAGCTTTAGGAAATGTCAGTTGACTGGTCCAAAGTTGATTTTAAAAATATCAACTGATTGATCAAACCGTAGCTTTAGAAAATGTCAACTGACTGGTCGAGGAAGTAAAGACCAAAAAACGTTCACAAATGCCAAATCCAATCAGTCAAAAATTATCGACCAGAAATACTAGTCAATAATAAGAAACGGCCAAAAACCCTCCAAATATTCGAATTTCAGTCGTTTTTCCCAAATTCTTTGTCGTTTTTTCCTCCGTTTCGTCCTTTGTGAACCAAGGCCGGATTTATGCCCTCCGGGGAATCGGAATTGATTTTTTCGCACTTTTTGGAGGAATCCGAGTTATGTGGTCCTGCAAAATGGATGACCGTTTCTAATGAGATTTCGATTTTACGACACGAAAAAAACGCTTTCAAATCACGAAATTATTGGCAAGATTGATCTAACCTGGGGCTTAATTTAAAAAAATATAGTAGGAAGAAGATCAAACAGTCTTTAAAGTTACAAAACATATTTTCTAAGAAGACAAAGAATATAAAGATTGATACATCCGAATTTAAACTGTTAAACCTATACTAAGAAGACCAGTAGATCCAAGTACAGTACTCCCTCTATATAAGCAACCCGCATTTTGTGTTTACTATATATACAAGTTGTTCACTATATAGAGAGATTACTGTAGTAGATATCGATAACAAGAAGCAGATCCAGCCTAAACTATTAGGTTGTTCACCTATGTGTTCCCTAACTCCAAAAATTTCCTTTAAGAAGAAACACAGAATTATTTAAACAACCTAATGACTTACAGTATATACCACATGATGCATATTTATACCTTTTACCTCACGTAGTAAGATAATCAAGTAAGGATTATGCTATTTATAATTGCAAGAAAGATTAAGCTTTCGAAATATTCAACGAAATATGACCAAATTTAAGCTAATAACCAACAATAAAATTGTGAAAGAAAGGAGTCTATTACAATATACAGTAGGCGCGTTATATGAACACTTCCGTTGATTACAACATGTTTTATAAAAAAACCTTAAAAAGACAATTGTACCTTACATTTTATTAAACCTTGTTTTGTACTATAATTCTCCTTACTGTACCAAGTTCCAGACTAATTAATACAGTACCCTTCAAAGAACAATGCTAAACAACTACAGTAATCTCTATACCAAAAAAAATTTCCTTCAGTACTAATTACACAACATACATTGTAAAAAAATCTCTTAAACTCACTCAGACAGACAAGAAGCCATGTTATATTAACACGCAATAAGTACAATGTTGTTTTGGCAAAAACAACTGAACATCTACATCAACATAGAAATTTAAACATAGGGAAGGCTATAGATTCCACAACCAAATGAAGAAATAGTCTGAGCAATAACTCTAATAACACAGGAAGTAACTTTGAGTACCACCTTAAACAATATAGAATAATAAGCTTGCACTTCAATAACACAGACAGAACACTAAATCTGTATTTTAATGACAAAGGCAGTATAACATATATAAGGTTCCAATTGAACAACCAAAAACAAAGCAGAAAAGTTCACCAACGTCAATGCCAATAACATAAAGAAGAACTTAAAGCGCCGAAGTCAAACAACTCAGAAAGACCTAACTTCATTACCAACAACAATGACAAGTCCAACCATGCACTTCATCAACAAACCAGAAAACTCCAAATGCCAATATCAACAACAGATTTAGAACTCTGAACATCAACGTCAAGAACACAGGAAAGAACCTCCGAATGTCAATATCAACAACATGGACAGTGAACTTAAAAGAGCGAAATCTTTAATTATTCTTGAAATTCAAAGAAAACAAAGTTAATGCACTCTCAATGTGATACTCGAAAATGTACATAGCTTAGCAATGAATGTGTTTTACAACGAAGAATTTAAAAAATGTAGTTATAGAGGCTGTGTACTGTAATTGAAGTAATTACAGAGCTGTAATAAGTGTTTTTATGAAACAGAAGAGTAAGTGTTACTAAAGACATGAATGCGAATACCGTATTTTACACTATATTCAAGATAGAGAAAAGCAATGTATTATCAAACTAAAATTACCCTGCTTTATCACCACAAATTACCTCTTCTTTATATACCTACCAGTCAAAACAAAGAAAAAAAAACCGTAACAACGTGACGAGTACTTTGAACACCAGTAAAATCAAACAGTAATCCGAACAATCCGCATTTTTCAAATTTTTCAACACCCGGATCAAATATCCACTCTCGAGTCTTCACACTTGACAATCACGTAAACACGTGGGTTTTGTGTTTCTTCCGGTACAATCGTAAAACTTTGTTTATACGTGATCCCGGTGAGTTCGCGTTTTGTTTTTGTTCAACTTTGTACTGTTTGTGCTGACACGGAAAGAATTTGTACCATTTTTGTCAAAAAATCTAGGATGCGCACCTTATAACCTATCACAGAAAAGTAATAGTTTTATAACTTTCGTATACTTTTTACTCACAAAGATCCTATAACACCAATTTATGTACCTTATCAAAGCAAAGATGACCTATAACATCAAAAAATTTAAATTCTTTAAACTTTTTGACCTTTACCAACCATTGAGCACAATATTTTAAAGGTAGTCCTTCTTAACAAATCCAACACCTTATATCCAAAATATTAAAAATAAGCCCAACCTTCATTACAAGCCCATCCAGACCAACTATCTCGGTTAGCCTTCCAAATCACAGCCTACAATTAGATTCATCTACCCAAACAACACAGAATCCAAGACTTCATTCTCTATGTAATTTTGTTACGTCAAATCGGACAACAAAAACAATTCCTTTAGCTATATCAAAGCATTTTAAAAGGTATCGTACTTCTATAAAATTGAGATGATAGACTGGGTTAGAATGATGTTGTAGTTGGGCTTTAGAACTGGAATTTGAAAGTCGCTGATAAACTTTGATGATGAACAACATATGACTATTACCATCGGTTATAAAACAGTAATAATAAGCGGTAGTAAGAGTCATACTTTGTTCAACCCAAACATTTATTAACAAATTCCAAAATCCGATTCCAAAGCCCAACTGCAATATTATTCTATCCCAGTCTATCATCTCAATTTTAGCCAACTACGCGACCTTTTAGAACGCCCAAATACAACTACTGGAATTGTTTTTGTTGTCCGATTCGAACGTAACGAAATTGGAGAACGGGACAGAATACGATAAGATGAAGAGGATTAAAGGTTAGAAGAATTACTGAGACAAATTATACTACTCAGTCAGGTGGGTTTAACCAATTTTCGGTTTAGTCTATGATCGTCTACGGCGGGTTTTTAGGCATGAAAAGGCTAATTTTTAAACAAAGCGAAGTTTAACATTTTTTCAAAATGACATCAGTCAAGGACAACCTTATCTTCATATCATCAACAGACAAAAACGACTTTACCTTCAATTTATAGTACTATAAATAAAAAAACTCAAGGCTACAGCAAGTTAAAAAAACTCTAGACTAGCAAAAGCGGTCTTAAAAAAAGCCCCTCAGTCCATAATACCCACTGCTTTTGACCACAAAAAGCCCGTTACTCTAGAATGACCATCGTGGCCACGAAAAGCGTTTTACTTAAGAATAGAGACTAAAACAATATCTCTTTGTACATAAAAAAGAACTCCCTTTTTGACTCGTGCAAAACTACACTTCAACTGGTATATCCCAGCACTAAAGAAAGCCTAGTACACAATTCCCATTGCATTTATTTACGTTCACGAAGCCGGCAACTTAGCATTACAAGTGCTTCTTTTGCTAATACCTAGTCTAAAATTTTTAAAAATAATTTAGTGAAGAACAATGACGAAAATGACAAAAACTTTCGAAACTACCATATTTTTTATTTAACCATATTTAGTTAATTTGAAATTGAATGCTTACAATTATTAGTTGTTTATAAAAACCCTAAATTTCCTACTATAAATTTGAATAGAATACCTATAAAAGTCATTTTAAAGCAAAATGACGTCCAAATAGTATTTCACAAGAAATAAAAATCACATGTTGTCCTTACAGAACGCACTATTATCAATGTTTATACTAGAGGAAGAATAAGAGAACACAATATATCTTTATAACAATGAAGAAACAGGCTTGTTAATACAATATTTTTGTACATTTTACCTCGTTTTTCTAATAAAAAACTCAGTAAACCTCTAGAAATAAAAAAAAACCTACTGCAATATCCCTAATGTTATATCGTAATATTTTTTGTGCCTTCCCACTTTCTACAAAACAAAATACATACTACCTTATCTCCTAAAGCCTGACAAGCTTTGCAAAACCAATGTAAAAGCAGACAATTTCACTCCAATTGAAATACCACATCACATGCCAAAGTAACACATGATAAACTTCAAAATGTCTTTCAAAAACGTAGTATAACAAACTACAGAAAGACCAGAAAACGAGCCAAGTTACGTTGAAATATATTCAAATTACACCAATTTACAAACAATTTTTCCTTGAAAACACGTAGAAATGACGTATTTCGGCTGGGATCTTCACGATAATTGCTGTAAATTACTACAAAGAAGCTAGGTAAACAATTGTTAGTGCTGTGTACAATACTTGTTGTGCAAATTACCTACACATTTACCTATGCGAAACAAAAGTCTTAAAATAGATTCTTTAGCTTCTTTAGGTAACTCACATGGAAGGTACCCGACCTGCAACGCTCAGATTTAGTTCATAATTTTTTAATTGAAAGATCATGTAAATGGAAGATCTTATGCGAAATTCTAAGTTGCGGTTTGCGGCCAGCCTTGAGAAAATTAAGATCAAAAAATCGCGCTTTGAATTTTGCATAGTGTTCCAAGCTTATAATTTTGTCATTTTTTGA